CACTTGTATGTAAATAAAACAGGAATGCAGAACACAGTTCATCATAGTGGTTACCTCTGGAGGATGGAAAAGCGAAGGAGCACATAAGCATTTGAAAATTATTTGTAAGCTTTTAATTTGGGGACTGGGTTTATAGATGCCATTATGCTATTATGCTTAGAATTTATATATATGTGGCATATAATCTTTGGTATGAATCAAGCATTTTAAAAACATAATTCTAAAGTATGAGAAATGGAAAAAATGAAATAATACTAGATATGATGGTCTACCCAGAAATCTCAAATAATCCCCTGATTATTAAATTTTGTAGTAATTGAGTGCAGCTGCTGAATTCAAAATAAGTACAAACATAAAATTCAATTTCATTTTTATACATCAACTACAAACACTTGTATAGAATATGATTCCTAAAAAAGGGAGAATTCAATGGTCATCAAATCTGGAACAATTTGAGCAGCAAAATAAAGTAGAATTGGATTATAACTCACATTATTAAAGATAATATCTATGAATCTATTTTGATGTAGATATCAAAGGAATTCTGATATTTAAATTATGTTCAAATATATTTATTTGAATTTGATATTTACAATTTCCAGCACATAAAAGGGGAAAAAAGGAAGACCTTATAGCAGAGAAAGCTAACAAAGACTACCTCAACCAGGTGACCAAGGTCAACATCGACAGTGATAACTCACGTTGATAGTATGCTGTACCCTTTTTATGTGTGATAAAATGGCACTTGAACTCTGTGGTCTTTTTCCTCAAAACCCATAACCCCAGTCTAGTCATAAAAAAATAGATGTAAATTAAGAGTCTCCCAATTTACCTGACCAGTACTCCTCAAAAATGTCAATGTCATTAAAAATAAGAAAAATCTAAGAAACTGTTATAGCCAAGAAGAACCTGAAGAGACATGACTACTAAATGGTAATGTGTTATCTGTATTGAATCATAGAACAGAAAAAACTAGGAAATCTGAATAAATTAGATATGTTGGTTAATAATAATGTATTAACATTTATTTATTAATTGTAACATGTACCATGTTAATGTGTGTTATTAATAACAAGGGACATTGAGTACAGGGTATATAGAATTCCCTTGTACTCTCTTTGTAATTTTTATGTAATTCTAAACTGTTCTAAAAATTTTTTTAAAGGGGGTACAGTTTACAATTTTCTCATAATGGAATTCTGTGCCTTTTACTGATTAACTTTCTTCTGAAGAAAGTTCAAAAAGTTTCAGCTAATGGTCAGTTTTACTTT